GCAATTTAGAAAGTGTTTTGGATTTGATGGAAGGCAGAGAGGAAAAGAAAACAAAAATACTGACATCCAGTTTGAGCTGAAAAATTGGAAGCCCGTTATGTTTTCTTCCTAAGTAACCACAGTTAAGAGGTGGATAATTTGGTATATGTTAAGGCATTTGAACAGCAGAGTGGATTAGTGTGAGGATGTGAGGTTCTCCTGTGCTGCTGAGAAGTTTGGGCAGGTTCTGTGGTGTCACGTGGGGACAAAGAAAGGACAGGTTCCCCAGCTGTGCTGTCCTGGTAACCGCTGCCTCTGCCTCTCTCCCCAGCCTTCCTTCTTCGTTGTGTACAACATGGTGACCACAGAAGTTATTGCTGTATTTGAGAATACGTCTGATGAGCTGCTGGAGCTGTTTGAGAACTTCTGTGACCTCTTCAGGAATTTTTTGGGAATGCCACCCTGCACAGTGAGGCAGTCCAGTTCCCCTGCTCAGCTTCCAGCAACAACTTTGCCAGGCAGATCCAGCGCCGGTGAGCCATTGGCAGCATGCTTTGTACCATGTAGGCACCCGCTGGCCCCGTCAGCTGAAGGCTAGTATCACATAGTGATGGCAACCCTGAGGAGACCAGTTCCTTTAGTTGCTGAGTGATGCAAGGGTCTGGCTGGTACCTGCTTCCTCTTGCAGCCTCATGCATCTGATTTTATATCCCACAGCATCTGTCTTGTTACAGGAACAGCACTGGCAATCCAGTGCTTAGAAGAAGGGAAGGGAATTTTAAGGAGAAGATGTTTCTGGCTCTTCTTAGGCAGTAGCTCTACCAGAGATTATGAAAGTTTTACTGCCCAGTAGCTTAGGTCCCTGCAGATAAGATTTGTCAAGATGCTTGTGTCATTTAATTAGACATATTTTGTCAAGTGGCCTCCTCTGACTTTAGTGTGCATTATACTGGGTTTCTGTATAATTTTCTCCATCATCAGTCACAAACTCGTGGTTCCCATCAAACTACTGGGAGAAAGAAAGCTCATCTGCCTAGATCTGTTGTGAAAGCTGATCAAAATAACCTGGGTTTCTAGAATTTCCTTTAGCAGTCAAATGTGGTTTTAATGAAGCAGAGGATGATACTTCTCTTGGAATATATTTTGATGTGAGTCAGGGTGTTTTGTTCTTCCAGTGACTTGTTTCACATCATCCAAAGTACTTTGCAGTCACTTACGGGCACGAAGCTTCTGTTGATTTTAGGTTGATGTCATGTAAGTAAGAGGAAGTTGACTGTGTCTGTAACTTTCTAGAGCTGCCTGTCAGGAAATCCACAATGCTTAAAGTGAGAGAGAATCAGAGAGCTCACCACAGACACCTGGAGAGCAACTCCTGCCTGGTGTTTAGTTAGAGAGGAGAATCTTTGCATTTTCTTGGCCACAAGAGCCTGTAACAGGATCATTTCACTTCATAGCCAAGTGTTATAGAGCATAATCCATGGCAAACTGGCTTCTGGATGAGTGTTTCTGGTCAAAAGGAAATGTTTTACCCTCCTTGATGTATGACATCTGTGCAGCTGATCTATTGTTCTTGTGCATGGAAAGCTCAAATTTTACTTGGGAAGAGAAATCTGGCCTGTGTGAATCTCTCTACTAGTAAGAACTTTCAGCTCACTCTGGTTTCTGAGGAGCTTAGGCTTCTTATCAAGATCCTTCCTCATCTTATGTTTCTCCCTTTATGCATTTAAAACAGAGTGGCTGGAGAGAAGGGCCCTCGCAAAGCCTACATTAAGGGCTCAACTGTTACTGTGAAACCTTCTGGCTTTTGCTTATGCTGTTTCTGCACTTCATGGTAAAACTTGGATTGACTGATATACTGCTAATCCATCTCTCCCTGTTCCTGATCCTGTTTGTTTCCTGTACTGCAGAGCAGCTGGGGCCAGACCTTGTGGGTAGGCACAGTCTTGTGCTTTTGTCATCTTTGGACTTTTCAGAGCAGAAGCAGCAATGATGAGGGAGGATAAAAAGGTCACCAGAGTTGGTTGGTGCTTGAATTGCTGTGATCCATCTTTGGAAAGGAACTGGTTTAGTTCTTACACTGCTGCCGTTTTTTGTTCCCTGTTGGTTTTCCTCCTGAGTTTATCTGATCTGTGCTGTTCTCTTGTGGCCTTTCTGAGTAAAACCTGTTTCTTGCTTTGCCACAGGTTCAAAGACACTATAGTGAATGCCAAGTACGGAGGGCACACGGAGGCTGTGCGGAGGCTGCTGGGGCAGCTCCCCATCAGCGCCCAGTCCTACAGTGGCAGCCCCTACCTCGACCTCTCCCTTTTCAGCTATGATGACAAGTGGGTGTCAGTCATGGAGCGGCCCAAGACCTGTGGTGATCACCCTATAAGGTATGGAATGGGACAGGAAGCTGGGTGTGAGGGGGGCAGTGGGAGAGTAGCTCTAAATCACCTCTGCCATGTGGCATCAAAGGTGCGGAACGGGGAGTAGATGGAAGCCTTTCTCTTATGACATCCTTTCACCAGAGGGTTTATTTTGGCAGTCCCACGAAGCTCAGCCTCTCTCCTTGCCATAACTGTTTCATCATGTAGGTGTGGGAGGGCTTTTCAGGGCTTCTCACTGAACTGCCCTTGGGAAGGTTTGGGTAGTGAAGCCTGAGCTTTTTCCATATGAATTCTCTTGTTCCTCTTTGTGCAGTCCCACTGATTGTGTTTGGGCTGCAGAGTGATTATGGTTCTGGATGCCTGCTTTCCTATGCTGGAGGGATCCCTTTTGAGCATGTGGGTTTAGCTGGCAAGGATGATCTGGTTTGTCCTGTGAATAAAATAGCAGCTGGGTTAGGTGTTATTCAGAAGCCTTGTGGTATTGATTTAGCTATTTTCAGACTTCCCTTGTTTGCAGTTCTCACCCTGGGAGATGTACTCCTCTTCATACTCCCCTTCTTTCTGTGATCTGTAGGAAATTTGTTTTTGTAATAGGAGTTGTAGGCAGGTGTAAGAGCCATTCTGTGCCTCTTCTGTCTGAGTCTTCGATGCTGGCAGGAGGAGCAAGTCCGAGCTTGGGAGTAAGGAGGTTTGCAATGTCTCTTGCAGAAACATCAGGACTGTATTTCCTTTTGTTGGCTGCAAGTAGTAGTGGTTAAAAATCCAGCATCTCTGGCCTGAAAGGCTCGAAGAGGCTGAGTTTTCCAGGCAGAATAGTCTTTCTACTTACAATACTGCAAAAGCAAACCTATGCTCTGGAAACAATGAGAGCCTTTAGTGCCTCAGTGCTTTGTTTAGTGACTGCACTCGTGTTGGGGGCTCAGGCAGCCTCGGGTGACAATTCTGGCCGGTTTCCCAACTTTATTTTCATCAATGCGTTTGCAAAAAGTGGTTTCATGTCTCCTCTGGCCTTGACTCAGGTGACAGAGAACCTCTGATTATTTCTGCACTCTCAATTCCCCAATTAAGTATATTTAATTGATTTTTCTGCCTCTATGATTTGGTGTGATCTCCAGCTCCCGTGTTAGCTGCAGAGAAAAGCCGGCCCTTTCCCCCTTGTCTTGCTTGACGATGGGAAAACTTGCCGGCCAGCAGTTGTCTGCCAGCGCCGACCTGCCTTTGCCTCCTGCAGACAAAAGGGAGCAAAACCGCAGTCATTTGCTGCAGTTACCTCTTTGTAGTAAACAAAGCCAAGTGCCACCTTCCCTCCCTCCCCTGAGCAAACCGGCGTTTCAGAGCTTTTAGAGCTCAAAGCTGTGCAGAGTCAATTAGAACTTGAATAGGGCCTGGGAGCAGTGGGGCTTCTGGTTTTGGGAGAGTAAGCACGAGTTGAAGCACTAACCTTAGCTGAAATAGTGCTGCTGTGTTTCTCACATGCAAAACAAAGGGATTAATAAAAAAATGCTGCTGCCTGTTGTGGCTGGAGGGGTTGGAAATGAGAGGCCACAGGACTTGTAATGGAAGTCTCATAGTTGGCTAGAATGCTGAACTCTTCAGCAGCTAAAGGTCTTACAACCTGTACTTGGTTTCCTGGCACTCTGGAGGAAATAGGAAGGATACCTGTAAGGCTTCGGTTTTGGTGCCTCTGTGCACTGTGTCCTTTTAACCCTTAGTGCCTTTCTGCATCCCAGAAGGTTCAAATCTTGACTGGCTACTTCAGAGACCAGTGTTTTTTTTGCTCTGAGGTGGGATGGACTTTAGGTTCCCTGTTACCACCATCTTCCAGTATGTTTTCAGGAGGCTTGAAGTGATATTCACTTGGTGAAATGATGGCACTCGTGAAAAAGAGGCTTCTGCACAGCCTTCCCTGTAGTAGGGGGTCTCTAAAATCCATCTGGATGGCTAGTAAGGAGCCATTTAACAAAAAAATTGGTCTGCAGATAAATCTTCCTTTTCCATACAGTTTGAAAAGGCTAGTCTTGCTGTTTCTGTTGACATACAATTTTATATTGCAGTGCCTAATTTATCCCCAGAGTGAGAGCCCATGAAAATGGGCTCTGATTGCAGAGCACTTTTAAAAATAGATTTAAAAATACCAAACTGGGCACATCTTTGAGATTACAGGGAGCTTCATCTTGAGTAGTAAATTATTGTGAATTGGGGAGAGAGGGGAGCAGACGGGGGGGACTGTGCTTTATTTGAAGAATGACCCTCTGCATACCCAGCCTTGTGTAGGAGGGAAAGGGCTTTTTGAAAAGCCAAATACCAAGATTGTGATTCTCTTACTGGGTTCTTGTGTGCAATTTTCAGTCAGGGCTGGCTGGCATTTTGATTCAGAGGAAGGGAGAGGAGAGTGGCCCTCCAGGAAGAACATGAGGTTCTCAATAGGCTGCGTTGTTAAAATGTGGAGTATGTCTGCTTCTGAGACAGCATCGTCTGTATCTGCCATCACCCGTTCTTCCAGGCTGAGAGCTGAGTGCATTGTATTGCTGGCAGGAGGGGAGGAAATGTGCTCTGAGATTAAAAGCATTCTCTGAGTTAAAACCAGAGGAAAATGCAAAATATCCACATGTACCAAGTGATGGTGAAAAAGGAAAACTGGGAGGCAAAATGGCAGTTACGTGCCTGAAACTGAAAGAGCAGATGAAATTACTTAGCAAATTGAGACAACTTCAGGGTGAAGACTTGAGTTAAGAGTCCAGCTGCTTTGTGAAGGTGCTGCATCCAGAAAGCTCCACCACCACATCCCAGAAACCTTGGCAGAGAGCCTCCTGTTCCAACAGCAGTGCAGGACAGTGCTGTTCCCTGGGCTTATGCTGGTTATGCAGGGTGTGCAGAGAAGGTTCAGGAGGCAAAGAGCTTCCTGGGCTTGCCCATCACTTCAGTGTGTTTGCCTCATCCTCTTGGCAGTCTTCCCTTTCCCTTCACACACTGCGAACTGTGTTCCAGAGCTCACCTGTTTGGAGACAAATGAGCTTGACCCACAGGCATGTTTGTGGGTGACAGCAGGAGGATGCAAGGTTTTCCTTGACCTCTGCCCTTGCTGTGATTGTTGAATGCAATCCAGCAGGTATTCCCTGCCCAGTCTATCTTGTTAATGCTTTTCTGATGGAAATCTGAAAGGATCAGCAAAGCTGCCCTTGTACTTCAAAGTACAACTCGGTGCCCTTGAGGAGAATTGGATCCAGATGTTCAGGTTTCTTGGCAGAGAAGCAGCAGTGTAAAGCCTACCTGGCAGCACCAGGAAAGGAAAGGGGTGGCCTTACACTTGAAGTGAAGGCCATTGCTAAGGGAAGTGAGCTCAGTGTTGGATCTGCCTGAGGGATCAAGGGGAGCAGCTTGCATGAAGAAAGGAGGGAGAGCCAGCACAAGTGGGGTCTGAACCAAATTTATTCCCTCTTATGAAGTCAGCTATGTCTACCAATATGTCAGAGAGATTTCTCTCACTGATGATACCAAAATGTAGTCAGGATTTTCTGGACAGTGGAGAACTAGCTGCCTTAGGAGGGAATTTCCTGTGTAGCCAAGAGCCAGACACCCAGCTGGGCCTCCTGCCCCTGAGGAGGTACCAGAGACTGAACTTTTGTCTCTATGTGAAGAGCTCAGATGGCAAAGTCAGTAGCTGGGAATGGCCATAATTCATTCTCTCTTCCTTTCAGATTTTACGCTCGTGATTCTGGCCTCCTGAAGTTTGAGATCCAGGCGGGACTCCTGGGGCGACCCATCAATCACACGGTGCGGCGCCTGGTCGCCTTCACCTTCCACCCCTTCGAGCCCTTTGCCATCTCAGTGCAGCGCACCAACGCTGAGTACGTGGTGAACTTCCACATGAGGCACAGCTGCACGTAGTCCCACATGGGGCTGGGGTGGCTGTGCTCCTCGGGGCTGGGCCTCTGCCACAGATGCACCAAAGCCAGATACTTGTGGGCCCTAGGAAACCAAACTCACGTCAAGAAACCTGGGAGCTCCTACCAGCCAGCATCTTGCAGTGCCCTCAGCTGTGGAAAGCCCGTCCGCTCAAGTGAGGTGTAGAAATGTTTCTTCTGACCCTGTTTGTACTGCATGGGTCCTGCTGCATTAAGCACTGCTGTTCCCTCTTCCTGTTGATGAACAAAGTGTAGCTGAGGTTTCTTGCCTGGTTTCCCAGAGGCATGTCACTTTTCTCTCCTGATGCAGGTCTTAGGATGGCAAAGACGGAGCTTTGCAACGTGTTTGTGGAGTGCTCTCTTCTGTACTGTACTCTCCTACCTTGCTGAGACAAACAGCTTGTTGTGGAGTGATGGGATGGGAGCCACGGGGAGGGATCAGAAATACAGCTACCCATGTTTGCATCTTCAGAATGACTAGGGAAACGGAATCCTGTTCTCATCGCAAAATCTACTCATGATTTTAATATGCAAGAGGTCAGGAAAAAAAAGGTGTGAGAAATGGCTGCAGTTGAGAGACATGAGGTGTGTTCCTGACTTTTATGCAAGTCACTTAATTTTTGTGCCTTATTACCTGTAGGTGAAAGGTGGTGTGTCAATACCAGAAAGCCAGGGCAGCTGGTTGTGTCTCTAATGCACAAGGAGGTGGGCACAGAAGGAAAATGGGTGGCTGGGAGGGGTGTGGAGAGCTACAACAGCTCCTTGGAAGGACTTTTTCTGCAGCATGGGAGTGAATCCTCTGCAGGTTTTGCTGCTGAGGGGAAGGGAGACCCAGCTTCTGGCACCCTCCTGCCTGTTGCAGTACAGTGCTAGGAATTAGTAGCATTTGGGATTGCCCAGAATAGGAGGGAGGAGACCTGAATTACTGTGCATTGCTGCAGGTTTGCGGTTAGGAGAGGACCTTGTTGTCTTATGTTGTTTACCTATCCATGTTTGATGTGCTGTTCTCTGTGAGAACCCCATTTGCTGTTCCCAGGCTTCAAAGCACAGCTGGTGGGTGTGTCCATGCTGACTGGGCCACTGCCATGTTTCTGCTGCTGATAAAATAAGCTCCTGGGTGTTATTACCTGCCACTGTGAGCTGGTGAGTATGCTGGCCTACCCTCTTCTCTGAAAAATGGAGTTTTTGGTTGTAGGGCAGCATATTTCTGCACACAGGCTGGTTTATGACTGTGCTGCCAGGTAGTGCCACCATCCCAGGATCACGAGGTGCTCTATCAGAAGCTGGAGCCTGCTCTTCGCCCATTCCCATGGGAGCTACTGAGAGGGCAGTACAAAACTGGTGCTTATACATGGGAGACCCTGTACTTGAAAGGACCCTGGGGATGTCTTGTTTGGGCCAAAATGAGCTATGGGTGGTGTATTGTGGCCACATTCCTGTGAAGAACAGTGTTGAAGTTGTGCATTCATTTTGCATGGTAACACACAGGACAGTAACTGTGGGTTGCTGGTGCCTGCTTAGAGCATGAATAGTGGACCTTCTAATGGAGGGTGCCCTGGGGTCCTTGAATCAGCCTTTACTCTCTGTCACATGGCACTTGCCTCCTGGCCTTGCTAATCATGTTTCTAGGGTAAGACATTGTATTTCACTGCTCTTTTCCTGGTGTTTGCACTGTTGGTTTCTCAGGTCTGTCAGGAGCGACTTCAGGTCAGCAGACTGCTAATAGAAGAAGTGTCAGGCCATGTGTGCTTTAGCTCCAGGTTCCTCTCCATCTGATAACACTATTTGTCAAGGTTTTAGGTTTTTAACCTGTGATCAGTTTCTCAAATATGCAATTAAAGCTCCAAGTGGAGCATCATTTGCACATTGTGGACCATGGATTTACCTCCTTCTACACCATTCTCACATTTGTTCCCATTTCCAGTGTGAGGCTTCTTGTTTTTTTCTTTTCCAAAGCTCTCAGCAGCTCTATCCAAGACTGGGTTTACTCCTTGACATCACAGCCTTGGGAGGTCAGGGCAAACCACACTGATATTTCTGCAGTCTGGGCTTTTGCCAAATTCAGGCTGTCCTATGAGAAGCAGAGAGCATGGCATGAATTGTTGGATGTGGGGCTGAGAGACCAGAGATCTGTTCTTAGCTCTGCTATTAAATTGTTCTGTGACTGGGAGCAAATCTCCTCCTGTTCCAGCTGGTGTTTTCTTCTCTGTAAATGAGGCCAAAAACATATTTTCAGCTTTTGTAAAACACTTTGAGATTCGTGGATAAAAAAAATGCTGGATAAGTGCTAAGTATTTTCTTATTGTGTTTGCAGACAAACTGATTAATCATTCTGGGTACTAATTGCCTTGGAGTAGCATAGCAGATCCTCTGGTCTTGGCTGCTGCATTTTATATCTACAACAGAGTTAATTTTATTACAGAAATGTATTGAAAGAAAAGTCTCTCATGCTTGAAATTTTGATTCTTTTATTTAAGAAACTGAATGTGTGTGTGTGGTGGGGAGGGTGGGAGGAAAGGGGAGATATTTTCTACCTGATATTTTTCCTAGGCTAGGATGAGGATTTGTTATCAACTCAAGACAAAAATGGAATAAACAGAATTTGCTTTAAGAGCCTGATGTGTTGTCTTTGCCTTCCAAAAATCTTGGTGGTGGCCCTTTGCTAAGAAGAGACAGCAGGATTGTGCCTTGGACTACTCAGGTGTATCACATGGGAGTTTGCTGCCTTTTCCTGGCATTTGGAGTACAAGTGTGCTCAAGGATGTTCCTAGCTGAGGGGTTTCTGTAGTTATCACAGACTTGTCTATGTGAGCTAGTGCTGGGGAGGAATTTCTGGCTTTCAGTTAAGTTTTCCTCTTTGTGCATTATTACTAGCCCAGCTAGTATTCACAGGCTCTTCCTTTATCCCATCCTTTATCCACTTGTCTAACCAAACGGTTACAAGGGAATGCATCTTTGCAGAACAGTGTGGCTGAGAACATGCAGACAGGACCTTCCCCAGGCATTGTAATTTCCTGCTGCTTTGCAACAACCTAGCAGCTCCCTGTGTGTGTTGGTTCCTCTAAGCATCCACATCTTGGGTGTGAAAGCCACTTTCCTTGAAACACTTCCTCTGTTTTTGTGTATGCAGTTCTCTGATACTTACCTTTGCAGACCTTGAACATCTCAGAAAGCTCTTCAGCCCGTGGCTTTTCAGGTAGGCATTAAGTGACAAGGAGATGCTTGACTTGGAAACCATGTTTGCCTGGCAGCAGAAAGCTGTTTTTTGTTACTTACTGTGCTTCCAAAAAAAAGTCAAAGCAGGACACTTGCAATATTTCTTATATAAACTGCATTAGACAGAGAGCCACAGAAGTCCCATTAGAATCAAACCTATGTGTCCATTAGTGGTGTGTCCCTACTAAAGGCTCCTTTCATTTAACCTTCCAGCACTGAGGGGCTGGCCCTGATTTAGCTCCCTGATGTTCTCATTGTACTCATAGTACCATTTGCTCAGGTGCTGGTGTCTGTTATGCTTCACTTGGTCCTTTTGACCCAGCTAGAAGAATCAGATTTCTCATTATTTAAGAAGTCTCTGTCCTTCTTCCTTGTGTCCTCTGTCTTGTTGCTTTTCTGCCAGCTCTTCCTGCAGGATCTCTCAGGGGTGTGGGCAGAGAGATGGGGAAAGGCTGGAACCTGTTGTCCTCCAACAACTGTAATTCTTGTGTGAGCCTTAATTGGGTGAATGCTGCAGAGCACATAGATGGTCCTGTGGGCAAGACACAGGACAGGATTTGGTGGGTTTGCTTTTGCCCTCATTCTGAGTTTCAGAGTCCAGGTCATTGATGTGCCTGGAGCTTTGCACTTCCCTGTCTTTTTACATAGTTGTAAAAAGCTTTTCTGGCCAAATACTCCTCAGGAGGAGGGAATGGTGAAAGGCCTTTTTCTTTTTCTATTATTTTCCCTTGCTCCAGGGCTGCGGGGGATGTGGGCTGAGCTGTGCAAAGTCAGTCATTGCAGCAGTAGCAGCCTGGCACTCACTACCTGCCCACCAGGCTGACTGCTCATCAGGCAGCAGCATCCCCTGCTAGAGCCATTCCCTGGCTGAGGTCTGATTTGCCTTTGTTTCTCTCAGGGAAGAGCTGTACTTACTGCGTGAGGAAATGAGTTCTCAGAAAAATACTGATGTGGGAAAAACCCTGAATTGCACATTCTTTTTCCTGATGTTTTGACGTAAAAATACCTGCACCGGTTTGAGACTTGGCAGTCTGGGAACCAGTAATTCATGGGCAACTGCCGTGGGTCCTGTGTGTGTGAGAACTGGAACGGGGCACAGTGCCCCTAGTCCCAGCTACCTAGGGCTGTGCTGCAGTATCTGGGTGACATGTTGGCTTGTGCTTGGTTAACAAGGAGTGGAGGACATCGTAGGAGCCCACAGGCTTTGCTGCACTTGGGCACAGGGGATGTTTTACTGTGGTGTTTCTTTCTTTCCTCCCAGAAGTCAAATCCTTTCCGAGGGCACCTTCTCGCTGTTGCAGTCTGCTGGTGGTGTGACTGCTGCCTGTTGTCAGTTCTGTGAGGATGCCAAGTGTGTCTGAAAAATTGAGGACAGTTTGAGGAGCATGGCAAGGGGATGCTTGATGGGGACCCAGGGCCCCTTGGCAGGCAAGAAGGAGGAGGAGCACAGGGAGAGGTGCCTCCCAGGGGAGTTTTGCTAGAGCAGGAGCAGCACAACATTTGGCCACTGTGGAAGAAAACCCTATAGAAACTGCAACAAGGCAATGGAAATTTGTGAGTAACACTGCAAAACCCCCAGCATTTTCTGCATTCTGCTTTGTCCAGGTGTGAACTGGTGCCTTTTCTGTGGTTGACAGAACCAGTTAGAATTCAGTCTTTTTGAAGCCAGAAACATGTTGCTTCTACTCTCCATGGTTGTCCTCTTTCTTTCTCCCCAGTAGCTTTGCACTATCCCAAGTGTGGCCCAAAGCAGCCCTGGCTCTCTGG